TTCCAAGAATGCGAGCCTCAGATCCTGGATGGTCCCCTGGAAGTCAAGGCGGACTTGTCCAATGTTCTATTAGCAGCCCAGACTGCATACCTTGCTTCAGAGGGTTTCAAGAAGGCTGCTGAGGAACATGGATTGGATCAGGCAGGAACCCTGTTTGGGAAGCGCTTGGAACACATCCCCCAAGGTCGGTCCCGCCTTGAAGAGGGGGTGAAGCTGGCCGATGAAACTAAGGTTGGCAAGCAATGGGTTGAGGCGATGGCCAAAGACACCTATGTTTCCGGCTGTCAACGGGTGATGGAGGGCATGATGCCGATTCTAGAGAAGCTTGCTGGCCGATCGGTCGAACTGGCAGAACTCTCTGAGGACCAGGTCCTTTTGAATGAATTTGACAAGTTTCGTCACAATTTACAGCGGCAGGTCGATCGTGCAGCAGACAGGGAACCTGCACCCCAACCGATGATGAAGCCGCTGAAGAAGAAGATGATGGGGCCGAATAGTAGATATGTCGGTTAGCAGTTCTTGATGATTCTCGTTGTATATTCCGGCCAATAGTGCCGAAGAACAAAAAATACCTTTTTGTCTGTTGCTTCTTGCATGATTTATTTCTGTTCTTGTTCTTTAACTTCCGTTCGATCGTTTGAAATTCCTAACATAACATCTGGGTCTTAGCAACTTTTATACCAACCTCATCTTGACCAGCCTTGATTTGAGGAAGAATTGACCAAATTTGCCTCTGTTTGGACTTTGACCGGTGAATGACAATGTTTTTCGGAAAACGGATGATATCTTGGTCAAGAAGGGTGCGTGTGAGTGCGTGTTTACAGGTTTCGTAGAACCTCCCATAAAAATGTAGATCTCTTCAAGACGTTTCCGAAAAGGTATTATACGCGTAAATCAGATCACTGAGTCAAAAGTTATTGCCAAAACAGTGAAGTCACACAAAATTGAAAAAGTTGATTGTTGAATGATCGTTGGCGCGTACTGTTCAGATTAAGAGTGGCTTTGAGATATGAGGGACCCGAGGTATTAAAAACAATAAGAGGCCCGAGATCTTTTAATTTAATTAGGGGTGGGCATTTCGGTTTTCGGTTTGGTTTTCTTCGGTTTCAGTTTAATCGGTTTGATAAAAAATGTACCAAATACAAACCGATTAAGTTTCGGTTTGGTATGGTTCGGTTCGGTTTGGAGTTCGGTTTACCAAAGTATTAAGGTTCGGATTGAAATAAAAATCAATTCAAAATAATGAACCAAGAAGCGATAGTAATGAACCAAATATAACGTTAGATATAAATTTGCAAATAATAACAAAACACATATGAACCAAAAATATATAAGCATGCCACATTTGTAAGCAACAACAACGAGAATGAATCAAATTATATATAAAGCTGAAACAAAAACAAAACTGGTGCTTGTAAGTAATGAACCAAATATATAGTAGTAGTAGATAATAAATTATAGTTAAATACTATCTACGTAAAAACTTATAATTGTTATAGTTGTGAATGTAATTCTTGTAGTAAACTCTAGTCCTGGACACTAAAATTAAAGAATTAAAGCTTCAAAAAGATTAACATCAATCAAATTAATGAGAGAAATCTTATATTTTGGTTTGGTTTAGTTTGGTGTAAGTTGGTTTTGATTTGTTATTTTAAAAAATATAAGAAATTATTTCATTTTTAGATTAATTCGGTTTTATTCGATTTTATGATTTTGATTCTGTTTGGTTCAGTTTAATACGGGTTGGGAGGAATACTACCAAACTCAAATAAAATTACAAATGATTCGGTTTGGTCAAATCGAACCGTTATACCCACCCCTAGATTTAATGGAGACCCGAAATTTTGAGGACCGAAATGTGTGAAGCAGCCTAGAATCTCGGGTGAAGCAAACTTGGTGATTTCGGGAGGTAAGATTTCGTGGGTGATGTGCGAAATTTCAAAACAATTGATGAGTGATTTCTAATTTGGGCTGAAAAAAAAATTAGGCTGGTTTCTAATTTGGACTGAAGCTCCAGATTATGAATTTAGGGAGTGAGGGTGTGATTATCTTGGGTAGTGGGTTTTGGTGAGTGGGTGAGAATCTTTGCTTTTGGATTTTATTTGTTGGGATTTCGGTGATCGGATAAAAGGATTTGGAAAACTCCTTTTGTACACGCCAAGTTTTACCAACTACACAGACATATTGAGCGGCAATTTACGAAGAAAACCGATTTTCACACAGATAAAAATAAAAAAATGTCTGTATCACAGACACTTTATGAAAAAATCAGGGTTAAAATGTCTGTGATACGGACAACTCTTTATAAAAAATGTCTGTATCACATAAAAAAATATTTCTGATTTCACAATGAACTGGTGTAAAATTTGATCCGATCATATCTTGCTCTATTTTGTTCTGTTAAAAGCGTTTAATATGGAAAGATCTTACTGAGTTCTAAAACTTGTTGTCAGGTGCTTGTTTCAAAATATCAAGGGATGATTGCGTAATTACTAAAATAAGACTTATTTACGCTAAAAGTGTTATATTTACGCCGAAAATGCTAAATCATAGAGATAAGGCTAAGAAGTTGTTCTGTTCGTCTTATTCTTATTACTTATTGCTTATTCTTATTTTATTCAGATCAGATCAGAAAATTCAGATCAGATCATATCAGATTAGAAAGATTCAGATCAGATCAGATCAGAAACATTGAGAACAGATCAGATCGGAAAGATTCAGATCAGATCAGAAGCATTGAGATCAGATCAGAAACATTTACAACAAATAATTTGTGCTCGATTCGCGATTCGAAATCGTATAAGACGATTCGAATTCGGAAAATTCAAATACAAATACAAATAAGAATATTAAATTTGATTCGAGTTGTTATCAAATACAAATAAGAATATCAGTGTATTCGATTCGAATATTAATCAAATGTATTCGATTAATAATAATGGTAATATTAATGTCAATATTAATAATAATAGTAGTAATAACACTATAATAACTTTTAAAAGATAGCAATACCCTCAAAGTGTAATAAATCTATATATACTTTTAAAAGATAGCAATAACTTTTAAAAGATACCAATACCAAAATAACCTATATATACACTTTTCATACAAATTCAAAGCCTATTTGTAATAAATCAGAATATAAATACAAATACAAATCAATTTTTTGGTTCAAACGTCTTTCAAATACAATACAAATAATTATGTATTCGATTTGAAGAATAAAATTAGAGTTGCTTGACTTTGATACATACAATTATCAACTTATTTCACACATTATAAGTATAATTTCTAATATGTGTGTCTTAGTGTTTATTTACAAAAGTTTGATCCAATAAATAGATTAATCATAAAATTAATTCACTTTAGTATATTGTGTACCATCTAAAAATGCATTGATCCAATAAACTTAAATTCAAAAAACACATATTAAGTCATAGCATGCATTTACAACATAAAAAATATGGAGTATAAAAAAGTTATTTTAGAGTGATATTTGACTAAAATTTAATTTATGCTCAAATCAATTCGATATTCGTATATGATTCGTTAACTATTCGTATTGTTAAACAAATACAAATACAAATCGAAATTAATATTCGCTTCATATTTTATTTCGAATTCGTATTCGAAAAAATTAAACAAATACAAATACAAAATCTCATTATTCGACTCGATTCGGTTCGTATACAACCCTAATCATCATCATCATCATTCTTATTATTATTGTTATTATTATTATTATTATTATTATTATTATTATTATTATTATTAAATTTGTGGAATTCAACTATTACTTTTGACACCTAACCATTCTTAACATGTAAAAAGTAAAAACGACCTAATTAAATTAGCTCATGGCTCATCAATCAGTAATGGGGAACTAGAATAGCAAACTGAGTACAAAAACATATTCTATTCGTCCCTTAAAACTTTGTCAAGTTTTAAGAGGGATAAAGGTTTGTGCAGAAGAGAAAGATTTGTCTGGAACCACAAATTTTTTACTAAAAAGAGAAAGTAGTAAAGGTAATGGGACAACAAAAAAGAAAAAGTTGACAAAATCTTAAGAGATAATTAACGAGGAAAGGAGAAGGGGGAAGAGGATGAACTTTTGCCATTCTTCACCCATTGAAGTTCTAACAATTGAATAACAATCACAATAACTTGAACTCAAGCGACGGAGTACTATTGATTAGGGGTGGACCGGGTCGGCATTCCCGGACTGGATCGGGTCCATAAACCGACTCGATGTGAGACGAAGTTCCTGACAAGGTACCAGGCGTTCACGTTCCTGGTTCAAAGTTTTGGGAACCAAACCGACGATTCTGGTCCCGATCTGGTTTTCTTAAAGCCTCGCTTCGGCCCAAAAAGAAAAAAAAATTAACAGGAATCCGAGTCCGGGACTAAAACCGGACCGGCCGGATGTCCGGAACCAGCCCAGACCTGGAAAAAGACGGTTCGGGAGTTCGAACATGGATCCAACCAATTTGTTTTTGGACCAGGTGAGCTCAGCCGGAATCAGGACTGAACCGAGCCAGGTCCATCCCTACTTGTGATCATTGTAATGAGGTACTACCTTTGAGATAACGGGGACAATTGGTCGATTGGACTCTTAAATATGACATTTATTTCAGGGCTAGATAAATTATTATTATTACCTTCCAATTTTTTGTATATATTAGTACTCGTGTTATATGTTTCTTTTAAGCAGGTAAAAGGATCAACCACAAGACTAAATAAATGAAAAACACAATATTACATAACAAAAATGGATTTATCAATGATAACAAACATAATATTGCTAACTCCGCCCTCTAATCCCAAAATCCCAATCCGACATGTGTGAAGTTCATTTTAAACAAAATTTACATTCTTTTGAATGCATTATTATTTGTTAACTATGACTCGACCGCTAATGGTATCATGTAAGAGTAAGACTAGGGATAAAGATCTGTTGAGAATAAGGCTTTGTTTGAAAAGCAAATCGGTTACGACAATTAACTCTTATCAAATAAGGAGTACCTATTATTGTTCATTATGGTTCATATATTTGGAGTTTTGAACATAACAGAATCCATATGGTTATGACCAGGAAGATGCAAACCAGAGCATTCCCTAATGCACGCTATGAAATTAAGTTAACACTCCAAACATTTCACTGCACGTTTTGTTATAAATAAATACTCGTATTTAAATATAAAAAACTATTACACTTGAGCATCTCTGGTGCAGTTGGGGCTCCCGTTTCCCTTCTGAGGAGGCGGTTTGTAAAGAACATTGGTCACATATTTTGAGCCAACGCGGTGAGTTGTTGCCACTCCCACCGGTTCCCATGAAAACTTCCTGTCATACACATTGGTGCAGAGATGGTTCAAGACCACACGGTGGGGTGTCTGGTCAGGTGTCTCTTGACCAGTGGTTAATCTCCTGATGGTCATAGGTTCCAAAAGATATGGAGGAGCCTCAGGCGGGAGCCCCCGCCCTTCGTCTTCTTTTATGTTATACACATTGTCATAACTGGACTTAGGTGATGGCGGGGTTTCGAATCCTGGGATAATTGGTTCATGCTCCTGCAAGGAAATTATACATTTAAGCGGGGGGTTAAGTAACGGCTAGAGGAGGCAACCAATGTATACTTCCTACCTGAAGCAGGCAGTAAGGCTACAGGCAGAGAAAGCCTCAAGGGTCTGTTTGGAGCCCAGGAAATTCTAGGGTAGAAAACAAGAAACATAAAGTTGAAATTTAAAAGGAAAGAACCGTCTTTCTATCTCCTCCCTACCATTTTCTGAGATCCAAACATGCACTTATTTATATTCAAATTTTGTTTGTATTTTCCAAGGCAACGGCAATAAGACAAAAACAAATTTTCTTCATTATCCAGGTTCAGGAATGGGTTCAAGAAAATTGTGTGAGGATAGCTCACACAATCTCGCTTGAAAAGTAGTTTTATAAAACACTTAAACATTGACATAACCTTTACTTAAGCCTATCATAGCACCTAGTTAATTATACTATTGCTTACTTCATTTTGACCATGCTGCTGAGGATTGTTCATCTCGAAGAGAGTAGAGGGACTAGCCAAGTATGAAAGAATAGCCTGAAAAAAAGAGGAATCTTTATCTAAATGGAAGAATAGCCTGAAAAAAAAAAGTATGATGTTATCCTGCAACAAGACTAATGAATGTGTGTATGAACTAATTTAGTTAAGAAATTAAAGCATGATTCACTAGTATTTACATATATAAAATGTAAATAATGCTACATTGACCTCATAAAACATGTTTAATGTCATGTGATATGTAGAAAGACACTTGCATTTAACTGAGCTACTACTATAATAACAGAGAAGAACTAACTATAGAGTATAGACAAGCAAACTATTGAATTTAACAGAACAAATCAACGTGCTAAGAATTAATTGATGATCATCTTACACAAAACTCCTAAGGAAGTTTAATATTTCCTTTTCCTCCTCAATGCATTTACCTATCCGAAGAAGGAAGCACACATTTATAGAAAATTGTGCCCACCGTTATTAAATCTTTTAATCAGCTCATGCAGAATAATAAACAGACACGTTTCTACACCGTTAATCTCAATTGACAAATGCATATCGAGTTCAGCTATACGTGGTGATCATGCGCAAGCCACCGAAAATGCTATCATATGTGTTTGTTAAATTTTTTCTTTTGAAACTAAGATATTAGAAATATCTGTACTAAGCAAATGAACCATATTGTGACACGAAGTCAAAATTTCCTTACCCAAAACACTGTAAGCAATCAACTATCACCCTCCACCTCCTGTTAAAGTAATTGTAAGAGGTAGAAAGTAAGCTTAACAAAAATTAATCTAACCAGTACATATATATATATATATATATATATATATATATATCAACTAGAATTCATGAAAAATTAGAAAATATTTAATGAAAGATCCTATAATCACTAACTTTCACTTTCCAAAAACTAAAACATTAATGGTAAAACTTCTTCTTTTGATCTTCAAGTTTAAATGGATAAAATAAATTGGTTCCCCCCTCAAGTATAATGATTTGGATGCTTTTGATCATGCTGTTAGATTTTTTCTCAGACTTAGGTAACTCACTGCAAACCATACTACAGAAATAGAACTTAGAATATTTATCGAATAGCTACCATATATTTTTAGTTTTTATAGAGTTCTACAATCTTGTAACTGCTAACTAACCCCTCTTAGACTTCAAAATATTAGCATTTTTGTTATTAGTAGCATTACTTCAAATAAGTTAACTATAAACAACTGCAGATCCTCTTGTGTGAGCTTCTATTTGAAAGACAAGTTCACTATTCTCTGAAGAAGAGTGAATCCTATATTGATGTACAAACAGCATATGAAAAATTTCAGAATGAAACGACACCCTTCATTCATTCAATGCACAATAATAAAAAGAAAAGAGTAAACATTGGATCAAGTGTATAATTAAGAAAAAAGAAATCAGTAGTACAAAAATCTCAACGAAGGATGCTTTCCAAAAAATAAAAAAGTTATGCATTGTTTCACCATGCATTTGCAAGCAATTCAGCTGATATTTAAGACACTTAAGATATTGCAGAGGTAAAAAAAAATAAGAAGAATTGATTGAATTGGGCCAGGGATCTTCAATTCGTAATGAAAACCTACTGTGTACGGAAGCAAGCTGTTAAGCCCAGGGGAAAGTATAATTATGGTAGATGAGTTGAGGATAAGAACTGAATGCAAAAACATATTAGAAGGAAGCTAATTGGATAAGAAAATGGCGTATCCGGTAAAACTCTTTGATTGAAAAGAAGAGGAGGAAGATGAAGATGAAGAAGAAATGCACCTTGAAAGGCGAGAAGATATGAACGGAGCAAGTGCCACCAGCGGTTATAAATAGCTCGAAACCCTGATAGAAAGTGAAGAAAACATGGATTCGGAAAATCGGCAAGATATTCATCAAAAAAGCCGTTTCCTGAACCTGACACCGTCCACCAGCTGATTCTGAAGAGTCCAAAGCTACTACGAGCTGTAAAGATTTCATCTTCCCTGTTTTAGTTTACTTTTGAACAAAAGCGGGCGAAGCTGCGGATGGTGAAGGGAGGGAAGCGCTGCCGAACATGTCAGACTCGTCCCCTTCCTCATCAGTTCGGCCCCAGGCGACGGCGAAATCCAGCATGAAATCCCGGCTAGCAGCGACTTCTGGTGTGGTTGCTGGATGTTTCACTGGTATGGACCGTTTTGGATAGCCTCGTGTATTGGGCTTGGCAATAGGTCTATGGTTCATACTTAAAGTATTGGGCCGGAGTATGTACGTAGTAATGTATAGGACTGTGTTTTTTATAACTAAAAGTCTAAAATATACGCAGTAGGATGTTTTTTCTTGAACTTAAACTTGCTGGTCTAGTCTGATTTCGTTTATTTAAGTCTGGTCTAGTCTCATTTTGGTCTGGTCTAATAAATGTCCGGTCTCTGTCTATTTTACAATTATGAAAGTCTGGTCCGATCTGATATGTTTAATTCTAATCTGATCTGTTCTGAGATTGAAAATAGTCCAAGTAAAAACATCTTGAGTACTTTTTTCAAACACATTTATTATGACTTTATTTCTAAGATGATACTCCGTACTTATTTTTTCATAAACAAAATCATTAATTGAATTAAAAAAGGCGTTACATAAACAAGGCACAGAAAAGAAATATCATATTTATATATGTATATAAACACAATACATGTCAGAAATACATACCATGAGATAATAAAAATAAATATTATCTTTATATAATTCTTATTAAATTTTAAGAATTTTATCATAAAAGAATCTGAAAGATAGATGAGCTATCAATTCGGCATCAGAAAGATGAAATGTGTCGATATATGACTCAAATGATTGAAAAATATCTATCTAGGACATAAGTTGTCATGATTTTTTATGAATTTTAAATAGGATATAATTTTATTAAAGTAATAAACTTTTGTGAAAAAAAATCATCAAAATTTAGCAATGGAATTATTAAAATAATTAAATAAATCAAAACCTAAGGAATTTTAGATCTTAGGTTGATAGTTTTCAATCATTTGGGTCTTAGACCGAGAAGTTTCATCTTTGAGGTCACGAATTGATACTTCATCTAACATTTATGTCTTAGATTGATAAAATTTCTAAATATTTTTACCGCTTATCCGGAAAGATTTAATGAGATGCTAAAATTTTCAAATTTATTGTCTCTACTAATAAATTTAATTTAGGTTTGCTAGTTAATGAACAAGAACAGAAAAAACATCTAAATTTGATTAGCTGGGTGATGCTAACATGTAACATGTTCCTTGGACCATGAACTATAATAGAAATACTTGGGACTGGCATAAAAACGTGTTAGCTCTTAAAGACTTCAAAACCCGATGTTTAATTAGAAAATATAGAAATATTGAGAGTTTGCTAATATAATTAATTGTGCCATTGTTTAAGCGTGTTGTAAGACAACCCATTTTATCCATCTTTATCAATGGTTTATGTCTTTAACTTAATTCAATTAGTACTTTTTTGTTAATATTATTTAGTAAATTCACATTCTCTACCTCAATTACAAGTACGCATTTTTACTTTATTAACTTTTACTTTATTAAATACGAAGTAATTAGAGTATTTTTCGGCATGTTCAAGGCTAAGTTCGCCAAACTAAGTGGCAATCTTGGAGTGGCCAAATGAAGTGAGGACTTTCAAGTACAAATACTCCTTATAACTTATATAAGTATGGAGGCCCCATGATATTCAAATCACATTTTTCTTTAAACGTTCATAATTTTTTCATTTTTGCTCCATTTTTTATAAAAAAATACCAAAATTCACAATTTTTTATTATCTTTCATTTGACACCAATATTGGATATGTAAACTTTAAAAAAATTTGAAGGCTTATTAAACAATTCTCGAATCTCTATATGGATTATTTTAAAAAACTAATTACACATACTCCCTCCGTCCCGTTGGAATGTTCCCGGTTTGACCTACACACATATTAAGGAAACAAATTTATCAGGGGGTAAATTTTACTGTTTTGACACTGTTTCGACACTGTTTGACACTGTTTCGACACTGTTTGACATTGTTTTGCACTGTTTGACCCTGTTTTGATGTAGGATAACTCTCCATTTAGGGAAATGGGAACTTTCCAACGGGACATCCAAAAAAGGAAAGCGGGAACATGCCAACGAGACGGAGGGAGTATATGACTAAATTAAAGATAGTTTATAAAATTGTGACTATAGTAGTAATGGATTTATAGTAATTTATGTTCAATTTTTAAATTAAAGTTAACATAATACTATACTGTAGTAACTTTTAGTCATAATTGTGTAAATAAACTTCATTTTATTAATATTTTTGAAAAAATATAAAGAAATAATTCATATTATATGATGAAAGTAAATATAAGGAATGAAGACGTGACTTGATAAGTTTTAAAGGCTACAATTATACTTGAATTTTATATTAGTGTAGCCATGAAAGTATACTCATAATGATAGGTTTTGGCTATTGTCCCCCACCATGTATTTTCATTTTGTTTAATAATTAAAGGTATGATTTTGTTAAAAAAAGTATACTCATAACCAATTTGGAGTATTTTTAAATCACGTCTTTCGACTTATCAAGCTTATTAGACAATTTCTGTACGTCTAAAAGAATGTAGTGTCATGATAACTTTAATTTAAAAATTGAACATAAATTACTATAATGTCATTACTACTCTAGTCACAATATTGAGCTACAGTAAAATTTGTTAACTGTCTTTAGTTTAAAAGAAATTGCTAACTGTCTTTAGTTTAAAAGAAATTGCTCAAAAGAATTTGAAAGAATAATATTCTCATAGCAAAGTATTTCAATGAAAAGATATTGTCCTAAATAGGACTAAAACAATGAATAAGTTTCAAAATAGGAGTTCTAATTGAGCCGACGGCGATGGACATGGTTGGCGATTGACAACAGAAGCATAATAATTCTAACACATAAAATTAGTTTCAAATTTGTTAACATTTGTTTAGTTTCAAATGCTGCTAATGGGAATTTTTCACAAGTAGGTTGAAAAGTATCAATTTTGTTCGCTATCAACTTTTTTTTCAAAAATACGCTGTGAACCAATTTTCTTTTCATAAGCAGACCAGTGCTATTAAACGCTCACGCACGGAGAATCTCTAGCCTTTGTTTATGAAGCAGTTGGGGTTGTTACGCTATGGACGTATACTCCCACCGTTGATTGAGTAATACAAAGTCCAGGAGTTAGTTAATTTTTGTTTTATAAATAGAAAGAAATTTAAATCTTTTTTATGGTCATTTAAACAATTATTAAAAAGCCAAAAAACGAATTAATTAGAGAAAAAACTAAAATTGAAAAATAAAGCAAAAACTCAATGTCAAAAATTAAAAATGTCCAAAAATGCATAATAAAAAATGAAATTTAAAAACATGTAAGTGAAATTAAATAAAATTAATTCTAAACAATTAATCATAAATGTAAAAACATTTGTAAAGAAAATTTAGAAATAAAAACTTGAAAATACAAAAATCAGGAAAGTTTAACTGTAAAAAATATAAAAAATTGTAAAAATAAAAAACGGTCAAAATTGTAAGAAAATCAATAAAATAACTTTAATAAAAAAGAAAAAAATATAAATATAAAAATTATAAGAAGTAAAAAAATAAGTCACAAAAAAGAAAAGGCTCAATTTTTTTTAAAAAGTTAAAAATTTGAGAAATGTTTTAAAAGTACAAAATTTAAATTTTGTAATTTAAAGTTTTTAAGAAAAATAAAAGATACTCCGTACTATTTTTAAGTTGTTGCATGATGTTGCTTTCTGTTTTTTTGTTTGTTTTTGCATTTAACTTCTAATATCTTCTTTCTGATTTATTGTTTATTTACGTATCGTGTTGTTGACTTCCATCATTCCATGGAACATTTTTATCATTATATGTAAATGTGTGTGCCTACACATACAAAACTCATATATTGAATTACTACATACTAACGAAATCATATATAAACAATAAACAATAAAAACTAATAATTGAAAAATGATGAATAATCCAAAACAAAAGGAAAACAAATGCAACAAAAAACAACAAAACGCAGCAACAATAAGCAACAAAAAACAACAACTCCTAAAATTCAAAATCACATGGAATAGTATCCAATGAATGCATATTTCGATTTATTTTTACACATTCATGATAAGAATTATATTTATAATCATAACAACATTAAAATATATAATATTACTTTTAAGAATTTATGTTATTACATTGTTTATATTAGACTCTCATCAATCATCCACATTTATAGTGTAATTCCCTTAAATCTTTTAACTTCCTCTAGAGAATCATATGTCACGTCCTGGACCTACCCGGACACGTCAACAACCCGCCGTACAGTATGAATAGTCAACCGCAGTCCAACACATCATACTATACAAGGCGTCTGGAATATCATTCACACATAGTACATTTTTATAAACAAACATAATGTAAAAACATTAATTAAAGCAGCGGAAACAATATTACAAGTGTTCAAGCCACACTTGGCATAACTAGGCATACAAGCCTCCAAATGATTGTTCAGAAAATAATATCCATGAGCATTATTAAAGTCATTTTTGAAACAGAAACGGAGGAAGCACGAACCACGTCTTCTCTCCTAGGTCTTCCCGAATCCACGTGCCCTGATAGCAAGCTCAACTCCTACCTGAAACTGTGAGGTGGCCTCCCCCGTGAAGGAGGGGTCAGTACTTGGAATCATTTGACAAGTACAATGACAACTATACTAAGTATAATCAATGTTTCAATTGCTAAGACCCCTAATCTGGGGATGATATTATATTATAGGCCATAACCCTCGGTTACCCCCTTTATTTTAAAATCATACTTACTTTATATAAAGGCAAGTAGCCGGCCCGTGAGCCCCTATTCATTTAGAATTTACCATTTTCATTCCCCGTGACCACAAGCCACGACTACCCCATAGGGTTCCATCGAGCCCCGATTGTATAGCAAGGGCTCGGCCCAACTATATTTCTATACAATCCTTTAACTCAATCTAATACATCAAAATTGTATGGCAAGGGCTCGGCCCAACTACGTTTCCATACCAACCATAACTTCGTGGCAAGGGCTCGGCCCAACTACGTTTCCATGAAGATCACAAATACATGGCAAGGGATCGGCCCAACTACGTTTCCATGCTAATCACATTAC